AGCATCTTTTAAAAATTGATAATCTTGATGTGGAATTACACCACCAACCACCACAATTTTATCATTAACACCTAATCAATGAAGTTCTTGGATTACAGCTGGTACAAGTGTTTTGTGACTGGCTGCTTGTGATGATATACCAATAACATGTACATCATTATCAATTGCTTGACGTACAACTTCCTCCAGAGTACTAAATAATGGTGATAAATCAACATCAAATCCAAAATCACTAAATGCTGAGACAATCACTTTCGCTCCCCTGTCATGTCCATCTTGACCACATTTTGCCACTAAAATTCTGGGATTAACACCTAATTTTTCTCCTGTTTCCTAAAATATTTTAAAAATTAATTATTGGTTGCATATCATCGATCAATCAAGTACAAAATAGTAGTCAGCAGTAAAAAAATTTACTTTGACTAATCTAATGGTTTCTTCTGTTTCATCTGCTTCTCCATATGCTGATTTGTAAGCACCACTAGCAACTCTGCTACTGGGTTCATGACGACCTCATATTTTTTCTAATGCGTAAGATATTTCACCAACTGTACATCTTGCTTTTGCCGCCTTTTTAAAAATTAATGTATATTTAAATAATCATGTGTGTAATAAATAATTTTTTTAAAAAAATAAAAAGGTATATTAATTACTTCTATTGATAATTCAAGTAAATTTCCATCTCCTGTTTTTGCACATTCAGTAAGAGCCTCCAAAGATTTTTGAGCCTTTATAATAATAATAGCGGTACAGCAAGCAGTAATAGTAGTGATAAACAAATCAATTTAATCAATTTTCTAATAAATTAATTAATGAAAAGTTTTTTATAATCGATCATCAACTAACCCGGACAGGATCTCTTTTAGCTTTCATTTCATTTATATGCTTTATTTGTCCATCTCTTACTTTGCTATTGTCAATGGCTCGAGCTTCAACTGCAATTTCTTTTTCAAGACGATACTTATTAACTCCCACAATTGTCTCTATCAAAAGAAATAAAAATATTCAAGTAAAAAAAAATTTTTTTTATAAAACTTGAATATCAAAATCTTTATATTTTTTTTTTACCCTGTCCAGAATCAATTCTAGCCTGCCATTGAGCTGCACTTTCTTCAATTTTTAATTTGGGTAAACCGCTTGCAACAGCTTTTGCCATACCACCCATGCTTTCAACTTCTTCAATAATTTCTCTTGAAGACTCATAAACACAATTAGTCAAACTTTCCATCATATAACTGCCACCCCATGGATCAGCAACCTTGGGTATAAATGCTTCTTCTTGCAGAATCAATTGTGTATTCCGGGCAATCCTTGCCAAAAACTCTGTAGGAAGTCCAATAGCTTCATCAAATGAATTTGTGTGAAGAGATTGTGTGCCACCAAGTACTGCTGCCATTGCTTCAATAGTTGTTCGTACAATATTATTATACGGATCGTTGTTAAAAGTGCTTTACTTTAACATCAAAACATATATATACATTGATGATGTATATTTTTAACATACTTTTAAAAATTACAACGAAAAAGACTAGGTCACATGCCCGACATACGATTGGGTGACACTTTGATAAACCCGTTTTATTTACCACAGTATTGCTGTTAAAAAAAAAAAGGACATGTATTATATAAAGATTATCATCCTTCTCATTGTAAAATTGATTTAATATCCTATATTACATATTGAGTTTTTTTTTTACCTCTTCAATTTAATTTGATCTTTTTTCTGATGGTTTCATTGATGTTTACATCCTCCTTTGTTATTATATTATTTTGATTTCGGTAATTTTGCATTTCATGGTAAACTGCGCGGTTTATTAACATCAAATGGGTTAGCTTTAGAACAATTTCAATTTTTTAATCAAGATAATTTGGAAAAAATTAATAAAAAATTTAGTGGTTTTTTTAGAAAAAAATTATTGTTTTCCACATATGGTGTATTAGAATTCATATTTTTTTGGGATGACATATTTTAATCCATAATCTTCTAAAAAAAAGTGGGTAGAAAAAAGACGATTTACTATTACAAAACTCAAATGTAAAGATTGCCATACATAATAATAATGAGATTAATGCCATTAATGACATTTAATTAGATTTATTGATCTACATACCCAGTATCATATGCAATCATACTACAATTCTCAGGTATCACATAATTTACGCGTCAAATCTGCCCATATGCTAGAATCAGTTTCCATATTTGGAAGACCGTTATTAAAACATCCGAATAATTTATATCAATTTTTTCAAGTATATAAAGCTTAATTAATGTATAGTTTTTTTTTCAAAATAAATCTCCCAACATACAATAATCCGAATTGATATTTTAAAGGTAAAAAAAGTTGACTTTAATGTAATATATAATTTTTTTAAAAAAAATTAGCATCCACAAACCAATAAAAAACGCATTCCAAATTCTTATAAAAAAGGCAGGCAATCAATCAACAAAAATCCAACTTTACGATCTTTAATCCGACAAAAAAAATTTTTTTTAATCCAAGATGACATATTTATTCGACGTCCCTGCCTATTTCATTCTTTTACGAGAAACTCTTGAGGTCACGATAATTCTTGCCGTACTGCTTGGGTTCATTGATAGACTTGTCCCAGAAAAGGATGCAGCAATAAAAAAAACTTTTAAACGTCAAATTTGGATCGGTGCAGCTGCTGGCTTGGCTCTTTCTATTGTAATTGGTAGTGTTTTTATAGGTGTTTTTTATACTGTTGCAAAAAATTTATGGGAAGAAAACGAACCAGCATGGGGTTAGTAAAGTTTATACACACTGTAATTCATATACAGCCAAACCTTGCTATAGTGAATCTTGTCACAACAGATCGGATTGTGATTAAATTCGCGTTATACCAGTTTGAAAAAATTTGCTTCGCATATAAAAACATATAAAACCCGTTATGACGAGATTTGTAATTTTGGCATAATGGATTTTAAATTATTATTATTATGTGTCCTGTGCATCTGTTGTGATGAGGTTTATCAGTTTTAATCATCATCATTTGTATTTTGTATTTTATTTACATACGTTATATATATTTATATGTATATATAGAGGGTTCGTTTGCTCTTATTGCTTCTGTTGTGATTACTATCATGGCTTTAGGTATGACCAGAGTTCAGCAATGGAGAAAAAAATGGGAAAGAAAACTTGAAAAAGCAACTGAAAGTTACTTGGAAAAGCATAAAACTGGCAATAAATGGGCATTGATTTTGTTACCATTCACTGTTGTATGTCGTGAAGCTGTTGAAACCTTTGTATTCATAGGAGGTGTAAGTAATTATTATTATTATTATTATTATTATTGCCATCAAATTAATCAATCACGTCAAGTTCAAGCAATCATTCATTTCAAAAATAGATTGGATTCAATAAACCTGCATCAGGACTACCAATTCCAGTAATTCTTGGACTTTTGACAGGGTTTGTTATTGGATGGATCATTTACAAAGGAGCTCACAGAGTATCAATAAATATATTTTTTGCGGCTACTACAGTATTTCTTCTTTTTGTGGCAGCTGGAATGTTTTCAACTTCAGTCCATGAACTTCAAGAAGCAACTGGATCACATGAAACAGTGTTATGGCATGCAACATGTTGTGATACAAATGTTAGTGAATTCTGGTCAATTATGCAAGCAATATTTGGATGGCGTGCAAAAGCAACACTTGGTACAACAATTGGTTATTTCAGCTATTGGGCATGCGTGATTGTTGCGGTTACGTCAATTTTTTATTATGGCAAGAAAAATGACGAAGAAGAGGATAAGATCGTAAAGTCTAAATTTGAGGTTGCAGATAGAACTGATAATGTTTAAATATTCATCTTATTACTATCCTTAAAAAAAATTTTTTTTTTTGTCATGTAAAAAAGCTGGTTTTTTTTTTTAATTTGTAAACATGCAATTGCTATTAATATTTAAGCCATTAATTACGATTGTATTATTAACTAGCCATAATGTAGGAATAAATCTTTATTTCATGAAAAACTATAAAGGGCCCACCCACGAAGTATACTTGCCGTAGGAATGGCTAGATAGAAATAATGGGGTTACTGCATGCGTTGTATTCTGGTCCGTAAATGCCGTAAAACTGTAATAATAATGCCGTAATTATTATTATAGACACATTACCATGGCAAAAGTATTGGACATCTTAAATTCATCAATTACCTAAAAACGTAGATAGCTCAAGCGGTTGGTTATGTATACAAAATTTCTTATCGATTGTTTTTGAAAAAAAAAAAATAACTATTCAACGAATCTATCTTTAAAAAAAAAAAAAAATCAATAAAGGATAATTAAATTTTTTTTAAATCTAGAAACAGAGAAATTTATATATACTTTTGGGTAATTAATGAACAAATTTAGGATGTCCGATACTTTTGCTACGGTGCTGTATATATAGCTGCAAAGGTCATAATAATAATGCCATAACAGATTATACCGTAAACAGTTTTCTTGATTTCTTTCTTCCCAAAAATTAAATAATTAAATAGTAATAAAAGCTTACAAAAGTATCTTTAGAATTAATATTACACATAATTATATAATATTACATGATGATAATAATATTGCCAAAAATCTTTCTTTGACAAATAAAAAAACTGCTATTTATATTATTAATGGTTTTTTAAGTAGTATATATATACACATTAGGGTTTCTATTTGAATAAAACTAGCAATTCGAATAAAATGAACGATAATAATAATAAATAATAATAAAATTAATAATAATAATTCGAATAATCCAATCCAATTAAAATTTTTTTTCTTTATCAATCTATTTTTCCTTAGTCCTTGAATATAGTGATAATAATAAATAGTAGTAGCTGACATTTCCCTTAAGTCATAGTACTAGCAATTATAGTAGTAATATAGATTATAAATATAATTATTGTTAATGTTATCTTATTAAGCAAATAAGATCTATATTTTATAAAATGAATAAACTAGTAATTTAAATAAAACGAATAAAACGAAAGCAAATTTTTTAATTCGAATAAGAATTCGTATTGCGAATAGAAATCCAGGTGTGCTCACGTGTGGACATGGTTATCACAATCTATTGTCTACAAAGGTGCCAATCTAAATGTTTGATATGCTCGGACTATCTTCAAGTCGAAATCAAAAAAATGCCAACGCACTAAAAGAAAGTATGAAATGAAAATGAATTTATTGAAAATAATGAAAATACAGTTGATGGTTATCCGGATAATGTTGAATCAGATGATGCAGCAACGATGGAAATTTTATTAGAACATGCAAAAAAAATTTTTTTGGTAAATTTTGTTTTTATTAAACAAATTTTGTTTTTATACATCGTTCATGTGTTGCCTTAATCGTATATCTTAAATTGGTCATTCGTCAACATTCATTATATTAAGGTTATTTTTGATTATATCAAGAGATATAAAACCAACCCTTTAAATAACATTTTTGAGTAGTACAATTTAATTTATTAGACACTATTTCAAAGGGAACCATTTGTTAACGAAACAATTGTTGGTAAAGTGATTTGTTGACAAAATGAATCAAACCATATTAAATGTTGGTCAATCAACAACAAAGAAAATGCGGTGATCTGTCGGCTCAAACGGTCTAATTTAATTAGATACGGGGGGTAATTGTTCTGCTTATTATGTAATTATTTGAAATAACCAATAAAAATAACATTACGATGGAAAAAAAAATAATATATAGATGTTTTGATACGTGTAACATAAAAATCTGAAATAATTGACTAGTTGGTCATTGTTGAGCTTTTGGTTAGTTAACCATTGAGCTTGAAAACGCACAATATTCAATTGGTAGCATTTTCGAGGTCATTGTTGAGCTTGAAAACATATCCATTAGGTCAATAATTCCAAGGTTACTATTAAGCTTGGAATATATTGTTTGGGTTAGTAATTTCAAGATCGTCATATTTGAATAGAAGTATATATTGACTTTTTTTGAATTAAATAGTCAGTATATAAATTGGGAGAACCAAAAGAATGTAACAAGTGTAAAGCAACAAGATACTCTGATAAATTTTGTGAAAATTGTATTAGTCTACGTTTGCAAAGTCTTTCCAGGTGGAAAAGAGGAACTATTTATGATTTTATGGTGAAAAATAAAATGGAGTTTATTTATGATGGAGCTTACCTTCTTTGTAGTATTAAAATCATTAAATAATTCAAGTAATCTTTTTTTACGAGGTAATTAAGCTTATATGTCATTTATTTATTTTTAATTGATTTTATATAATTAATTGATTTTATTTGTATAATTAATTATAGGCATCGAATTATTGTAAAATTAAATCAAATTTCGTTGTTAATTAATCACCATGATATATAATAGAGCTATAATTATTGCTTAAATATATATATATATATATATATATGTTGAAGTTTACGACCACCAATATTACCAGGAACACCTGGTAATTATGCACTAATGATGCAAAGATGTCGGGATGTGAATCCATCAAAAGACCAACTATTGAAGAGATTTGGAAATTTGCCGATGATAAATTAAAGGAACTGATGAAAGTATTGGAGGTGATAATAATAATAATAATAATAATAATAATAATAATAATAATAATAATAGTAATAGTAGTAGTAGTAGTAGTAGTAGTAGTAGTGATAGTAAATAGTAATTTACAATAAATTCATAAACTACATCCATTAGCATAGATACCTAATTTAAATTAAAAAGTAATGATAGTTTATCAAGTATCTTGATATTAATTCTGTATGTTATCCGAAATATTAATTAATTAATAATAATAATAATAATAATAATAAAGGACAAGAATTGTAAGGTTGATAAGGTTGAAAATTTGATTTCACCATTATTGATATTATTTAAAATTTTTATTATATTTATTTTATATATTACATATATAAACTCGATAAGTCGTCATGTGGGGGTGAGCTCATATGACCGACCTATCATGTGACCGACTTATCGAGTTTACATATTAATATGTATTTCTTTAAAAAAGCATTTGTATAAACGCCAATACAGTCAGGGAATAAACATACATAGCAGGCTTTTTCTAATATAGCGGCCTTTCTCTGTGTGCAACTTGAAAAAGTTGGTATATAAGACTCATTTTTCCATTACTAGTACTCATCTCGGGTGAGATGGTGGATTGACCCTTCGTGACATGACATCTCTCTTTTGTTAATTTTTATTGTTTATTTGTAATATATGAAGATCCATCAAGCATTAGTATTATAGCAACAATGAATCATCATTTTTTGAGGATGATAATAAAGATTAAGATCTGATTTTGTTTCATGAGAATATGAGGGATGGCCGTACTATTTATATATTTTGAATTTAATAAAATAGACTATTGTCTTGGCCTGAATGATGCCATTTTTTTGCTTTTTGCGACAAAGATGAAATAAATTTTTGTTCTCGCGTAGCAAAAGCTTGCATTGCGTCCTCAGTTGTAAACTTTATTTTTTTTTTTTCATTCCCCATTTATATTGACACGTAAAACTTGCTTTTTCGAATTATAATAAACACTTATTGTGTATGAATTTGATTTATTTATTTTGTAATATAAACGTTTGCATGAGAACCTTATGCAACGTAAAAATTATAATAACCAATAATAAAAAATAAAGGATAAAAAAAGTAAAAGAAGAGTACAATTTTATAAGATTACTACCAAAATTAAAGTAATATAGTGAAGCTATAAAAGAGCTAAAGAGTAAATACGGCCTTATTTCTATTTAAAATAAAACAAAAATCAATCAACAGTTAATATGTTTTCAAAAACAATAAATATAAATGATGAGAATACTTACTTTCTATTTATTATTTAAATAAATCAAAAATAAATCAACAGTTAATATGTTTTCAGAAGCAATGATATTGACTGTAATAATAAATAAATGATAAAAATACTTACAGGCTATTCATTATTTAAAATAAAACAAGAAACAATCAATGATTAATATTTTTTCAAAAATAATGATATTGACTGTAATAATAAATAAATGATAAAAATACTTACAGGCTATTCATTATTTAAAATAAAACAAGAAACAATCAATGATTAATATTTTTTCAAAAATAATGATATTGACTGTAATAATAAATAAATGATAAAAATACTTACAGGCTATTCATTATTTAAAATAAAACAAGAAAC